TCGCCTCTGGTCGCCACTCCTGCTCACTATCATCCCCGCTCCCCTCCTCCTCCTCATCGTCCTCGTCGTCCTCCTCCTCCTCACTATCACTATCCGCAGTGGCAGTACGCGTCTGCCCCGAAGGAAGGGGTCTCGCTCCACTGTACTGGTACGTGTGGCGGAATCTCGGTGATGGCACGGACAAAATCCCCCCAACAAAACAAGCACTGGCTATCGTAGGCCCGTCCCCTACTCGACCCTGCAGAGGTCGTGCTGGAGTCATGGGAGCACCGCCTTGAGCACCGCCTTGCTCCTCCTTGTGATTGTTGGTGTGAGGCCATAATCCTAACCTTGAACGCCTAAACACCCCTAAAGCCTAAGCTACTCAAGTTAGTGAGACTATCTGCCACGAAGGGACACTAAGCTGCTCTGTACCGCTAATTGATTCTCCCGTAATAGAATCGCATGAACGGATTTCTGAAAATGTTGTGGAAATATGGTTCCTAGTGATTAAACGCTGGTTTGAACACTAAACCGCAGCTTCTACCTCTTGTCGCCATCCGTCGACTATGTACTTAAATAGATACTAATGCTTGCAGTTACGTTGGTCCTAAACGTGTTAATGAACGGTGGTAGTATTAGAAAGTGTGCTGGTGCTTAGGTCGACAGAGTTTGAGCTAAAAATTGAGCCCAAACTGATTGTCCCCTCGACCTAAAAAAGTGGTCGCGGGACATTCGCGCGACGAACACCTTTGTGTTTGTCGTAGCCCATTGTCGAACTCGAACATGTTCGTGTTCGGCGCGGCTCGGGAGTGACGGCGAACTGAACACGAACGTGTCCGCCCCGAACAATTTAAGCCAAAATATAAACCTGTTCGAGGCGAACCGAACAGGTGTTTGCCGACATGCTCAAGTCTACTTTGATCACATACCGCTACCACCATCTTACCTACCTTCTCACCAGTTTGCCCATCTTCTTTGCATGCCCCCCATGTGTCCCTCGTCTTGAACAGTTCTCTCGCTAACAACCAGCTCATCAGCTCCATCCCTGCTGACATTGGCTTGCTGACGAAGCTGGTAACCATGTAAGAATGTAGTGTATGTAATTCGCCCACATTGGTTTTAATTCTGGATATGTATTCACTCTTCCTAGTCCTCCTTGCTATTCTTCTATACGCTTGTTGATATCTTATGCTCCCCTATTCTCCTTGTGTCACTGCTTTTCTAAAAAAATCTCTTTCTTCACACCTTACTCGTTGCTCCTCTTCATCTGATATTCGCATGCTGCTTAGGGTACATTCCTGTGGAGATGCGTCACAAATTCTTGCGTCACAAATGCCTAAAACCGAGTCGCGCTCGCAAAATTTCTCCAAATTTGGTGAGCGCGACTCGGTTTTGGCGAGTGTGACTCTGTTTTGGGCGTTTGTGATGCAAATATTTGTGCCGTGTCAGGAAATACCTTGACTCATGACTGAAGCCGGGCATGAGCACGGGACAGAGCTCATTTCGAGCTCCAACTCTTTCATTAGCTAGTACGGCCTAACCTCCCTTGTTCTTGGACGTTTACCACGGTCGATTCAAACTGGGGTTAGGCGTTTTTAAGGGCAGATTTTAGGAAATCTGCCAAGGAGCTTCCTTGCATTCGAGTTTAGTATACTCTACTCTCTAATGCAGCAGTATCAACTATATCTATCCCCATAGGCTACGTTTAGGATGCCCACACAGCAATATTTCTATGCCCATAAACCAGTGAGTTGAACAAATATCTGATCCAAGTGCCAACATGAACGTTAAGCGTCAAATATACGCATCAAAACGCTTGGCGCTTGGCGTGTAGCAAGTGGAAAATCATTGGCCATCATGAATAGCATAGCGATCATTAGTCTACTCCGGCACATTCACCTGCCCCCATAAGCACTCTCCGATCTGTGCTGGTCAGTATCGTTACGTTCGTCGATAACAAAGACGATGGTGCTTACAATCAAATAATTAATCTCCATGCCCCTGCTTCTTGCTTTTTAATCTCAGAGACCTTTCAAGGAACCAGCTTTCAGGAAGCATTCCTGCTAGTGTCAGTGCTCTCGCTCAACTCACTCTCTTGTAAGTCGCACACAAGTAGGCAAGTGGCATAGTACTACCGTGTATGTCAACCTATACAATGATACGCAATATGAGTGCACAATGTGTGCTCACCATATCAGCCAGATAGATTGGTGAAAACTACCACTCACTACACTCAGTTTGTGTTTACTTGAGTAGTGCCAGACAGATCCGCACGGATGTGGCCGCGAAATGCCAGATCTGTGCAACGAAATCCAGATTTGCGCGGACCTGGCGGTGAAATTGTTTGCTCGAGTACGCTTTCTAGGTGCGACCTTGAGAACCTGTACATCAGATTGTGAGTTGTGCGGCCTAGAGCGAACCAGTTTGGCCTACTTCTTTTGGCAGTTCGACCTAGTTCAACCCGAATCAGTTCGAGTTCGAGTTCTGCTCATGCCCGGGTACAACGTAACCATTAGGCATGAGCAGAAACGAGATCTGTGTTTCAGCCTGAGGCGTAATAATTTGTACTTTCCCGAGCTGAGGCGTAAAGATGGGTTATCCTGCTGAGCTGCAAGATGGTGGCAGATTTTGCAGCGCGGCGGTAGTCAAACAAGAGGCACATCCTACCATTATTTATCGGCATTTCCTTTCTCCAGCCGGCCTGCATCGAATTGGCCTGGGATCGGCTGCAACGAGAGGAGGGGACAAGGATGTGCCACCTTCTGGTGCATCGAAAGGCCACCTTCTGGCGCATGTTCCAGCCAGTGATGGTGCAGGGTTATCACGGTCCTGCCCTACCTAACCTGGTCGGCGCACCTAAACCGTCGGGTCGAACCCGAACCGAACTGCAATTTGGTTTTTTGTTCAACCCTTCGGGTGCCTTCTGCCATGGCTTCACCACCTCTTTCTGCCCCATTTTCTTCTGTCTTTTCGTTTTTCGAATAAATTGTCCTTCCTTAGCCGCCCATCATGACTCAACTTTGATCAGATTTGGGTAGGAGAGACACCTACACCTCGTCTCATGGCCCTGCTGACTTTGACATTCCACGTTTTTTTACAAAGAATCTCCCACTCCCATGAAATCTTCACATTCAACTCAGGTATTTTTATGAAAATCAGCTCACTGGCTCTATCCCTGCAGAGATTTACTCAATGACGAAGTTGGTGTACCTGTAAGGATTGTTTACGTCCTGTCCACAAATTCCCCGTTCTGCCTTTTATCTAGTTTTGAGCAACCAATCTCCCCTCTCAGGCGCCCAATTTTCACACCCCTTCGCTTCAATCTTATCTTCTCTTCGCCATCCTCTCTTGTGCATCGTATGCATGTTTCTGTTGTGTTGGAGGGTGTGCTACTAGACCAGTGTTCTCACGCGTGCCTTCTCTGTAAATTGATGTAAACGTGCATTGCACAGGTCCTTTCACATCAATCGTTTGAGTGGAAGGATTCCTGACTCTCTTGGGGAACTCTCCCAACTACGCTTTATGTAAGCTCATGTGCGGCTGCAATTCTGGGACAGGAAAAATACTTCCTCGTTTGTTATCCTTCAGGCTAGCATGCCCCTCACACCATGTACCTTGTAGTGTCGATTCTCAATTTATGGCATTTATAGGAAATCATATCTTTGCAAAATGCTTCTTCTCCAACCAAAGTGTCTAGCATGCGAGGACCAGTGTGGCTTCTTGGTGTTTTCTTCCATGACATTGGCGTGAACCTTGTGTGTCATATGTTCCACTGGAGACCCTTCCAGTAGGCAGCTAGTAAATTTAGCAAGTAACGAGGGAAATTAGCAAGTAAATTCAGCAGCTGAGTTTAGCAAGTGAATTACGCAAGTGAAACTAGCAAGTGAATTCAGCAAGTGAATCTAGCAAGTGAATTCAGCATGTGAATTTAGTAATTGAATCTAGCGAGCGAATTTAGCATGTCAATGTTAGCATGTGAATAGTGCACCGTTCTTCCGTATCAGCATCTCGCCCCTGGCCACAGCACGGTTCATGTCGGCACAGCCCTTCAATCTTAAACACCTCTAAGCTACCCAACTTGGTACTCCATCTGTCCCCATTCTCCCCTTTTATCCTTCCCACTGCTCCTCTAACATCCTTCCGTCTCCTCACCATGGCCATCAGGTCTCTCGCCTTCAACGAGCTGTTTGGGAGCATACCGAGCACTCTCACCAAGCTCACACAGCTCACACAGCTGTACGACCCACACACTACCTCTCTCCTTCTCGCATGCTCTGGCATTCTCCCTCGTACGCACTCGACAAGCCACGCACGCACGCTCTTTGTACTCCCAAAATCATGCTGTCATAACGGCAACAGCAGCACCTGCCCTGCCATGCATGCTCTCTAGTCACAAAGATTTTTAATTAAGAAACACACACACATGTTGTAGGAATAAGGAGGAACTGTTCAAGTGAGGGTAGTGAACATTAGGCACTACTCAAAACTATACGAGAATTGAACAATCTTGAATGTTCACCAATTGGGATTAAGATGGCTGGTCCTGGGACGTGCCAACCAAGCATGCACTATGTACTTTTTGTGGAAAGGGACCTCAACAGCACCACATGCATGCTCGTGCTTGCCGTACTTGTGCCCTTCAAATATCCTCCACAACCACATCCTTTGGATTGCTTTCCTCTCTTCACCTCCTTCTTTATCTTGTCTCACTCCACCATCCCCTGATATGCCTCTTCTTCCTCTTCATCTTCTGCCTCCTCCTAGTCCACCTCCTCTTCCCACTCTGCTTCGCTTCTCGGCTAATCTTCGTTCTCCTTTTCTGCCTTCCTGTGTCCGTCTTCTTCTCCTCCCTCATCCATACACCCATGCCACTCAACAACCCCTCACACCTTCGCCCCTTCAACTCTACTTTTCCAAGTGTGGATGCATTTTGATGATCCCCATGCGTCCTTCTCCCGGCACCTGCCCCTCTCCCCTGCAGCGACCTCTCCCACAACTACCTCACAGGACCGACAGTGATGCCTCTTGCTGCACGCAGCCTGGATCTCTCCAGCAACTTCCTCTCGGGCCCTCTTCCCAACGGGGCATGCCGGCGTCTCTCTTTTGATGCCAACTGCTTCACGCTGCCACTTGGCTGTGACTTGGTACCGCAACGGCAGGAGGCAGCATGCAATGCATTCTGTGGCGTCTCCTCTGCTGCTGGTGCTGCCGCTGTTGCGTGTGGAGGACATGGGGTGTGCTATCCAGAGGGAGCTAGCTTGGCACCCACATGTCTATGCGACGCGGGATTTGTGCAATTTGAAGAGATAAGCTGTGTTGCTCAAGGTAGGGGACACCACTTGAAATCGATGAAACATGACCACGGACAGATTCACAGAATGGTGGGACGTCCAACTCACATGAACTCCAGTAGCTTGTAGATTGGAGATCTGTTCGACCTTCGTAGGTCTCACCCTTTCCTGCCTCCTTTCATTTTTATTGTTAGACATAGGCATCCATGTGAACTTTTGTACTTGCACTTTTATCTCCTACTTTAGCATAGTAGTTTTCGTGGTTGGGTGTTACACCAATATCCCATCCAAACCCAACCCAACTGTGACGTGACCAGCTGAAATCTCCAGCCCCTCCAATTGAAGATTTCAGCCAATCTACCTGGGGTGGGGATTGCCCCCCATTCCCTACCCATCTGTTCCAACCCATTTTCTGAAGTAGTAAAGAACCTTGAGCTCCTTCAATTCTTGCTCATGTTTTTACGCATTCCCCACTCCTGTCCGCCCCTCTGTTATGTTTGTGCAGGCCAGGACAGAAATTACTCGAGCACCCAGCCGGTTCTCCCACCAGCATCTGTTCTCACCAAGGGGACGCAGCGCGAGACAAGTGGGAACTTCACTGCAGCGCCGGTGACTCTGTTTGTGTACGAGACAGGGCAGGCGCTGTCAGGGTGTGGGCTGGAGCTCGCCTTCCATGCCAACTTCACCTTCTCCCTCTCACCTCGATCTGGCCGCGTAGGCTTCAACGGCTTTGCCTTTGTCGTCTCGGCAATGGACCGGGTGGGGAGTGGTGCAGGTGTGGGATATGGTGGAATGGACAAGCGGAGCATGGCGGTGGAGTTTGACACTCTGCAGAACAAGGAGCACGGTGACATGAGCAGCCAACATGTGGGGCTGAACATTCGAGGCGAGGACAAGTCGCTAGCCGCTGTGAGGTCACCCTTCCCTCTGAGCAACAGGAAGGCGTACACGGCGTTGGTGGACTATGAGCCGGGGGACCCCGGCACCATCCAGGTCTTCCTGGCTGACTCGCAGGAGAAGCCGCAGGAGGCACTGCTGGAGAGGAGGCTGGCGCTGTGTGAGGTGCTGCAGGGTGCAGCTGAGCAGCCCGCCTTCTTCTTTGGATTCGTGGCGTCCACCACTGTGAAGCCGTTTCAGCGGCACGTCATTCTTGAATCGACAGTGGACACAGGTAAGCAGTGTGTGCTGGAAGGGGAATGAGCTTGTTATGGTGGTTATCAATACTGGAGGAGCAGCCTGGACAATGTGAAGGAGGTGGCAACGAGACTGTGGGAGTGGATGGTGGCGTAAAGGGTAGTGCTGGTGAAGATGAGGGCAGTGCTGGTGAAGATGAGGGCAGTGCTGGTGAAGATGAGGGCAGTGCTGGTGAAGATGAGGATAGTGCTGGTGCTCATGAGGGTGTTGATGGAAGGTGTGTTCAATGTATTCAATCTGAAAGTGGATGGACAATTTGTTCAATACATTCAATCTGAAAGTGACTGTAAATATGAGTCACACAATCTCTGAATCGTACAAGGCATTTTTTTTCGCTCTGATTGCTTTGTTTGTTCTCAGGCCTTCCTGCTCCTTCTCGACCAGTCACAAGTAACCCAGGTGAGACATCGTCTCCCATGCTTGAAAGGCCTGAACCGCGCATGATTGAGGTATCAGTAATGGTGCATCAGCACTTGACAGAGTGCTCGTCCCTATCAGCACTCGACAGAGTGCTCGTTTGGTGGATGTGAAATGGCCACATGAGATGCACATGTGATCAGATATGAGTGCAGCTCAGCAATGAAGGCAATGCACCCCATCTCATTCTATTCATTATCCTCCTTCAAGATCTTCTTGTAACAACTGGTCAACTTCACATCCCATTCCTTTCTCCGTATTGCAACTCCCGAGCACGTCCCAGCCTATGGCCTGCAGCTATAACGAACACGTACATGCCAGCATGGGCCAGCCCCTTCCCGCGCTACGTGAGTGCGGACTACCGAGTGGCGCCCAGCAAGCAGGACTCGTGGGTCATCAGTGACTTCCACTCTTGGGACTCTGTCCCCTTCCTTGGCTGGCCTGTTAAGGACCAAAAATACTGCAGTGAGTGAAATCATAGGGGAACCTGGAGATTTATGTTAGAGCCGATAGCTTGGTAGGTGTGTCTTGGTTGGTTGCTACAGTCTGCGTGTTTCCGTTTGCTGTTCTGCTGATGGTCACTTTCATGTTTCAACTAGACGTGAGCAAATGGGTGAAGCCCTCTTCGGCTCGACGCAAACATCTAGAAGCTGTATTTTTTGGGGGGAATTCTTTTCAACCGAACATCTAAGTGTTCGGCATCAAATGTTCCACCCAAACATGATGGAAGTGTTCCGGGTTAACATGTTCAAGTGTTTAATTTCTGGTGTCGATGCACGTTGAACATAAAACATGTTCGAGTGTTTGAAGTGTCCAGTTTGAGGATGAAGTGCGACAGCACTGGAAGGGAGGGTCTCAATGAGCAGGACCTGGACAGGGCTGTGGAGGGGAGTTGGGTGGCTGTGGAGTGGGGAGGGGAGGGATGTGGAGGGGGTTTGGAGAGCTGTGGAGTTGGGGGGGAGGGGGTATGGAGGAGGGGGGAGGACTGCTCGAACCGAATGGGTCGAACACCAAACTGTTCACCCCCATAGGCGAACGTCAAACACCACATTTTGGAAACGGTGTTTCACTCAAACCCGAACATGTTTGGTTCGTGTTGGAGAAGTGTTTGAAAGTGTCTCAAGCACGTTTGAGTTCGCCCATTGCTCACATCTAGTTTCAATTATCGTACCATGCTCGTTGCAATACGTGTTTCCATCATTCTTCAACCATCATCGCATCAGCTTCAATGATCTATGAAACTGTGTTCATCATATCCAGGTGCTTGTTGGGCATTTGCGGTGGTGGCGAGTGTGGAAGCGGCATACGGCATTGCAATGAATGCAGAGGCGCCGCGGCTGTCAGTGGAGTCACTCTTTGCAGCCATGGGGCTCACCTCCGAAGCTGACAAGTGCATCACGGGGGGCTCTCCAACTGAGGCGTTGGAGAGGCTTCTCATGCTGCCTCGCGGTAGAATCACAGAGGCTGGATCGTCTGTGAGTAGTGTGGTGATGCTAAGTGTAGATTTTCATGAGATTTGGGAACTTTGTATGGTGTGCCTGATGTTGCAAAAGTTGCGACTGTACTGCAGCTGGTGATACGAGGACTCTTTGTGAGTCGTTGAAGCCGCTGTCATGGGTTGCAACTTATAACCGAGTCAAACTAACGTCCAGTTTCATTGGTCGGGTCGGGGCCAAGAGGCCAAGTTATGGCAGCAAGGCAAAGAGCTAATACCAGGCATGATCAAGGGTCGTCCTAGGCCGGCTTGCCCCGAGCTGGAAGAGGGCCGAGCCAGACTTGGTAATTCCATGAACCATTCAGAAGGCAACGTATATGAGTACACAATGTATATTCTAATCATTCTGTAGTGCACTTTATATCTATTGCTTGCTATGATTGGCCTCTTGCAATTTCAGCAAGGAAACCTTGTTCTTCATGGTAAATTCCTTTTATGTTTCTTTTTCTTCCTTCCTATCTGTAATGAAATCGTTTCTGAAAAAATCATCTTCAGAGAAAGGAGTACCCTGTGCACGGCTTTGAGCGCACGAGGTTCAAGGGGTTTGTGTGCAATGCATTCTGTGGCGTCTCCTCTACTGCTGGTGCTGCTGCTGCGTGTGGAGGACATGTCGTGTGCTATCCAGAGGGAGCTAGCTTGGCACCCACATGTCTATGCGACGCGGGATTTGTGCAATTTGGAAAGATCAGCTGTGTTGCTCAAGGTAGGGGACACCACTTGAAATCAATGAATCATGAGTACGGGCAGATTCACAGAATGGTGTGACGTCCAACTCACATGATTGGAGATCCGTTGGACCTTCGCAGGTCTCACCCTTTCATGCCTCCATATTGTTAGACATGACATGTGAACTTTTGTACTTGCTCTTTCATCTCCTACTTTAGCATAGTAGAAGTCGTGGTTGGGTGTTACACCAATATCCCAACCAAACCCAACTGTGATGTGACCAGCTGAAATCTCCAGCCGCTCCAAGATTTAAGCCGATCTACTTGGTGATTGGCCCCCATTCCTTGCCCTTCTGTTCCAACCCCTTCTGTAATTTTCTAAAGTAGTAACTCTCCTTCAATTCTTGCTCATGTTTTTACGCATTCCCCACTCCTGTCCGCCCCTCTGTTATGTTTGTGCAGGCCAGGACAGAAATTACTCGAGCAGCCAGCCGGTTCTCCCACCAGCATCTGTGCTCACCAAGGGGACGCAGCGCGAGACAGGGGGGAACTTCACTGCAGCGCCGGTGACTCTGTTTGTGTACGAGGCAGTGCAAGCGTTGTCAGGGTGTGGGCTGGAGCTCGCCTTCCACGCCAACTTCACCTTCTCCCTCTTGCCTCGATCTGGCCGCGTGGGCTTCAACGGCTTTGCTTTTGTCGTCTCGGCAACGGACCGGGTGGGGAGCGGCGCTGGTGTGGGGTATGGTGGAATGGACACGCGGAGCATGGCGGTTGAGTTTGACACGCTGCAGAACAAGGAGCATGGCGATATGAGAAGCCAGCATGTGGGGCTGAACATCCGAGGCGAGGACAGGTCGCTAGCCGCTGTGAGGTCGCCCTTCCCTCTGAGCAAGAGGAAGGCGTACACGGCGTGGGTGGACTATGAGCCGGGGGACCCCGGCACCATCCAGGTCTTCCTAGCTGACTCGCAGGAGAAGCCGCAGCAGGCGGTTCTGGAGAGGAGGCTGGTGCTGTGTGAGGTGCTGCAGGGTGCAGCCAAACGGCCCGCCTTCTTCTTTGGCTTTGTGGCGTCCACCATTGTAAAACCGTTTCAGCGGCACGTCATTCTTGATTCGGCAGTGGTTATTGGTAGGCAGTGTGTGCTGGCAGGGCGATGAACTTGGCATGGTGGTTAACAACACTGGAGGTGCGGTCTGGAGGATGTGAAGGAGGTGGCAACGAGCATGGGAGTGGATGGTGGTGTAAACTGTCGTGACGATGGGGGTAGTTCTGGTAAAAATAATTGCGGTGTTGGTGACGATGAGGGCAGTGTTGGTGAAGATGAGGGCAGTGTTGGTGAAGATGAGGGCAGTGCTGGTGAAGGTGAGGGTACTGCTGGTGCTCATGAGGGTATCGATGGACGGTTTGTCCAATACATTCTATCTGAAAGTGGATGCACGGTTTGACCAACACATTCAATGTGAAAGTGACAACTAATATGAGTCACAAAATCTCTGAATCTTACAAGGCATTTTTTGTTTGCTCTGGTTGCTTTGCTTCTTCTCAGGCCTTCCTGCTTCTTCCCTACCAGTCACACGTAATCCAGATGAGGCATCGTCTCCCATGCTTCTGCTGCGACTTTCACAATTACCTCAAGGACAAAGAGGCAAGCGTTGTGACTGACTGACTGTTATAATCGTCTTGATATCTGTACAAATGTTTGCCCTCAAGTTTGTTTATCTTTCCACTATCCTTACCATTCTTTTACCTTTTTTAAGGTTCTTCGTTTTGAATGTGCATGCATTCAGTAGATTAGGTGCAAGTAGGAGTAATAACCTACACCATGTGGTTGATGGTGCTCAGCACTGTGCACCTCAATCCCAAGCAAACTGGAAAAGATAAACTGAGCAACAATGTTTTTGCTATACCGATTTAGGGAAACGTTTTCTTTATGAGAGGCCTGAATTGCGCATGATTGAAGTATCAGTAATGGTGCATCAGCACTCAACAGAGTGCTTGTTTGGTGGATGTGAAATGGATGCAGAATGGCCACATGAGATGCACATGTGATCAGATATGGGGTGCAGCCCAGCAATGTAAGGGTAATGCACGCACCCCATCCCATTGTATTCATTATCCTCCTTCAAGATCTTCTTGTAACAACTTGTCAACTTCACATCCCGTTCCTTCCTCCGTACTGCAACTCCCGAGCACGTCCCAGCCTATGGCATGCAGCTATCAACGAACACGTACATGCCAGCATGGGCCAGCCCCTTCCCGCGCTACGTGAGTGCGGACTACCGAGTGGCGCCCAGCAAGCAGGACTCGTGGGTCATCAGTGACTTCCACTCCTGGGACTCTGTCCCCTTCCTTGGCTAGCCTGTTAAGGACCAAAAAGACTGCAGTGAGTGAAATCATTGGGGAACCTGGAGAATTATGTTAGAGCCGATAGCTTGGTAGGTGTGTCTTGGTTGGTTGCTACAGTCTGCGTGTTTCCGTTTGCTGTTTTGCTGCTGGTCACTTTCATGTTTCAACTAGATGTGAGCAAATGGGTGAACCCCTATTTGGCTCAACGCAAACATCTAAAAGCTGTATTTTTCTGATGGAATTCTTCTCAACCGAACATTTAAGTGTTCGGCATAAAATGTTCCACCCAAACATGATGGAAGTGTTCCGGGTTAACATGTTCAAGTGTTTAATTGCTGGTGTCAAGGCACGTTGAACGTAAAACATGTTGGAGTGTTTCAAGTGTCCAGTTTGTGGATGAAGTGCGACAGCACTGGAAGGGAGGGTCTCAATGAGCAGGACCTGGACGGGGCTGTGGAGGGGAGATGGGGGGCTGTGGAGTGGGGGGGGGGGGGTTGGAGAGCTGTGGAGTTGGGGGGGAGGGGGTATGGAGGAGGGGGGAGGACTGCTCGAACCGAATGCGTTCGTGTTCGGGTCGAACACCAAACTGTTCTCCCCCATAGGCGAACGTCAAACACCACGTTTTGGAAATGGTGTTTCACTCAAACCCGAACATGTTTGGTTCGTGTTGGAGAAGTGTTTGAAAGTGTCTCAAGCACGTTTGAGTTCGCCCATTGCTCACATCTAGTTTCAATTATCGTACCATGCTCGTTGCAATACGTGTTTCCATCATTCTTCAACCATCGTCGCATCAGCTTCAATTATCTATGGAACTGTTTTCATCATATCCAGGTGCTTGTTGGGCGTTTGCACTGGTGGCGAGTGTGGAAGCGGCATACGGCATTGCATTGAATGCAGAGGCGCCGCGGCTGTCAGTGGAGTCACTCTTTGCAGCCATGGAGCTCACCTCCGAAGCTGACAAGTGCATCACGGGGGGCTCTCCAACTGAGGCGTTGGAGAGGCTTCTCACACTGCCTCGCGGTAGAATCACAGAGGCTGGATCGCCTGTGAGTAGTGTGGTGATGTGAAAGACTAGAGTGTGTAGATTTTCATAAGATTTGGGAACTTTGTGTGGTGTGCCTGATGTTGAGAGAGTGGCGACTGTACTACAACTGGTGATACGAGGACCCCCTCTGATTCGTTGAAGCCGCTGTCATGGGTTGCAACTTATAACCGAGTTGAACTAACGTCCAGTTTCATTGGTCGGGTCGGGGCCAAGAGGCCAAGTTATGGCAGCAAGGCAAACAGCTAATACCAGGCATGATCAAGGGTCGGCCTAGGCCGGCTTGCCTCGAGCCGAAAGAGGGCCGAGCCAGACTTGGTAATTCCATGAAACATTCAGAAGGCAACGTATATGGATGCACAATGTGTATTCTAATCTTTCTGTAGTGCACTTTATATTCTATTGCTTGCTACGATTGGCCTCAATTTCAGCAAGGAAAACTTGTTCTTCATGGTAAATTCCTTTTATATTTCTTTTTCTTCCTTCCTATCTGCAATGAAATCGTTTCTGAAAAAATCGTCTTCAGAGAAAGGAGTACCCTGTGCACGGCTTTGAGCGCACGAGGTTCAAGGGGTTTGTGGGGCTCATGCTGGCGGTGCGACGACAGCCAGTGGTGGTTCACATCGAGGCTTCTGCTCCGGATTTTGCACAATATGACAGGGTGGGTGTTTCTTGTGTTGATCCTTCATGTTATCCACAAGTTGTCAGGAGCTGTATAAAAGTTGTTACTTGCATTAAGCTGTATCTTTAAAAACCATCCCAGAGTTGTACACAAGTTGTTACCCGCATTAAGCTATATGCCTGAAGTGGTTGTTTGTTGTTTGTTGTGGTGCCTCCTTTCTCTTCAGACCTTCAAGTACCAGGATCCGGGCTGCTACACCGGCAAACTCAACCACGTCGTACTCGTTGTTGGCTACTTCGTCTTAAGAAATGACGGGAGCCAAAATCGCATTGCGCCTACATTTTGGATTCTCCGCAACTCGTGGGGAGTGGAGTGGGGCGACCGGGGCCACATGCGCATGGACATTCAAGGAGGGGATGGCGTATGTGGCATCAACGTGCTGCCTGGCATCTACCCCATAGTCAAGAGTGAGGCATCTATTCCATTGTCAAGAGTGAGGCATCTACCTCGTGGTCTTGAGGGGGGGCGCTTCCTTCATCGCGCTCCCCATATGGAAATTCCACCTTTTCAGTACATCACATGATCAACTATAATTGGGTCAGGGTGAAATTCACAGAACAAGCATTCAGTCAACGTTTAGTTTAGAGGATGGCTTTTATTTTTGGCTATGAATTAGAGTGGGGTAGAAGCATTGTCAACAGAGAGAATGGAGTGTGAGCCAATGGTGTCCACAAAGTTGTAAGGTGATCAATCACAAAGTTGTAAGTTGTTTCCAGGTTTTACATCTGTCATTTTGCTAACGCTTGTCTATTACTGCCCACTAACTTTTCCAATGAAGCTGCATACACACCTGCTTCTACTCATCCTGTTCTCGTCTGTACCACCCTCTAGTCCCCAAGGACCCTTGCGGCCAGAGGAGCTTCAAGGGCGATGGTGACCTGCAGCCCAGCATGAACCCGTGTGGGCGGTTCACATGCCGGGCTATTCTACGGAACAACAGCAACTCGTGTGACTGTTCTATTCCCAACGAGTCTAAGCAGCCATTTGTTCAAGTTGCAAACGGATATGGCTCCCAAACGTGTGCTTACTGTAAGTTGTTCGATTCAGGTTCTCAAGTGATAACTTTGATCCATGTCCGTTGTCAGAACAATGGTCATTTTTAGAACAACGGGCTCCTTCGATCTTCAGATATTCTACCAAGCCCCTGTCTACATCCTTTTGGAGTTCTATCTCTCCCTCCAATCCCCACCCCCTCATTCTCCCATTGCTCCCAACGCATGTATCTCTCTCCACGCTGTTCTCCACAATTGTGTTTGTGTCGCTTGGCAGTGGATGTGTGTGGATCTGACTTGAAGAACCCGTGCTACGTGGGCGCATGCATCAACGACACCAAGGGATCCTACTCCTGCATCTGCCCTCCCAACTACGTTGCAAGCACAACCATTGACAACTTCCCCACTTGCGACCCAGGTGCTGCTGCCTTGCCTTCGTTTGTAGGAGGGTCGCTGCTTTTTTCGGTTATTCTTGCACGACATGTTGGGGTCGTCGTCCTCCATGTGATGCACACACAAGGTTTGGTTTGGGTGTGTTCTCCTGCTTTCACACCTGTCCTTCCCAGCCAACGCTACAGCCAGCACCCTGGCAGTGAGTGGGAGCAACTGGTGGTGCTCCGATGTCCTCCCTATTGTGGGCCTCTCACTTGCCCAATTCACACAGCAGAATGCGGTAAGCAGTGGAGATGGAGAGGCTGGAAGAGTGGAGAGGCAGGTAGGGGTAGTTGTGGATCCGGAAAATCATATATCACATATTCTGGAAGATGTTGGTTCTTCAGAAGAGAATTCTACACCCCATTGTTTTATCTTCAACGGGTCAAATGAAGTCGATCAGAAAAAACAATATTGCTTCTCACTGCAGGGCATTGGCTGCAATCATGCATTGCTTCGTAACATGGTGCTTCAGCTGAGAAGTCCTCTCCTCGTTCCCTGCACTGTGTTCTTCTACACCCTCAGTGTGAGAATAAGCCCTTTTATATTTTCTTTGTTAAATGGAATCTCATCAAATCATTCCTCCAGATTTCCCCACTCCATTTTGCTTAGCTCGCAAGACTGTCGCATAGAATGGCTGCTTCACCGCAGGCTCCTGTGAATTCTCTCCCGTTGCTCCACCCTCCAGGGCGACACATGCTGGTCCATCAGCACCCAGCTGTTCCTCACCACCAGCAACCTCACGGCACTCAATCCCGGCCTCGACTGCTCTGAGCCCATCGAGGCGGGCCGCTCTCTGTGCATTGAGCACAATTTATCATCTATCAATCTGTTATTTAGGTTGTACAGCTCAATTTGGGGCGGGGGGGTCTTTTATTCGTACCGAATTCGCACAAATTTTGCGTGAGCGGCACGTCAGATCCGTGTCAGAATTCGAGTCTGACACAAGTAAAGTGTCAGAATTCGAGTCTGACACAAGTAAAGTGTCAGAATTCGAGTCTGACACAAAAAACGTGTCAGATTTCGAAGAACGCTCTAGTACGCATGATAACTTTCATACTTAGGGAAATCCCTCTTCAAACACGGACCCTTGGATAGGGGCTGGTTCTACCAGGCACCCAAGGACCCTTGGAGGTGACCCCGTGGGGACTACCTAGTGTTGATTAAAGGTGTGTTAAGAGCCTTTACATCCCAAATAGCAGTCAACAAGTGGTATCAGAGCTGTGGTTCTAAAGACTGCCGATAGAACACCATGGAGTCGAGTGGAAACGAAGGATCTGTGGCACGAGCTAATAGTGGAGTCTATGACGACGGTGGTTCAGCGCCAAGGGAAGTGCGGACTAGCCGAGGCCCACTATTGAAGGATGTGCTCAAGAACTTCGTCGTCGACAAGTTCAACGGCAGTGGCTACGACGATTGGGCGTGGAAAATGCAGCTCTCCTTTCGGCAAGTCGGATTATTGAAGCAAATGATGGGCATGGAGAAAGGGCCAAGCGACCCCCCCCCTGCAAGAGGAGTGGGACGAGCGTTCGACCGCTGGCTACTATCTCCTATCTCAGGGCTTGGAGCTGAACCAGCGATCGCATGTGATGCATTTGCTGGAAAAGGATGATTGCTGGCCTCAAGCTTGGAAAGTGCTCAAGGAGTTGCACGCGCCAACCTCGGTGGTTGCAACTGTTAACGGGAATGGAGTGTTGGCCCCGCCCTTGCTTGGGCAACGCCGACGACTTGGTCGGATGTACGGGAGTAGAAGCCGACCATTCACAGTGGGAGAGCTGCTCGATAGGCTTCGTTGAGCTGCAGGGGACCGCTGTGGTGTTGCTGTCGACAAGAGAGCTCGACAGCTGCAACTGACTGGTCTGGG